TGCATAGACATCCTGCGGCGCGATTTACAAGATTCGCGTAAATGAATTGGCAAAAGTTGAGCACTTTCCTTACTCGAGTTGGAAAATCTGAACTTCAGCGGACATTTGTGCCGCGTTAACCAATCAGAAGCTTTCACCTGTAGGGGCGTGATTATGATGTAGCGTCTGTTGTTGGTGTCCTGAGGGGAAATCCTCTTGCCGGCACTAGTCAACAGTTCATCAAACTGGACTCGACTGCACTGCCTCAATCATCCAGGTATAGTTTCTAGGATCTAGAGCAGGGGTGGCCAATCCTGTTCCTGGAGAGCCACCTTCCTGCAGATTTCAGTTGCTACCCATATCAAACACACCTGAACCAATTAATTAGGACCTGAACACCACGTGATAATTACAGGCAGGTGTGTTGATTATGGGTTGCAACTGAAATCTGCAGGAAGGTGGCTCTCCAGGAACAGGATTGGCCACCCCTGATCTAGAGGACTTAGACATGGCGTTGAACGAATATACGCTGTTTTTCATTCTTCTGAAAGCTCATCAACATACCTACTATCAATAAATCCATATTAGCCATTTAGCAACAATGCTAAATTCACTGGACAGACAGAGCCACAGCCCATGATGCGAATAGCGATTAGTATGTATTGTGAAGTGAATTTGACGCGTGAATAAGGCGAGAAAACCTAAAATGTTTGAACATTTATTTACGCGGGAATAGTGCTATTTATTTGCACGTTCCATGTTTGGTGTGAATAACACAGCATAACGTCCTTTGGTTAATCTATCTTCTCTGTGAAGGGAAAAAAACATGGAATGATTTACCTGTAAGTAATACTTACTCTTACTTACTTTCAGGGCTGTTTTTATCGAAGTTGAAATTTAGCCTCGCCATGTTTGTGTTTCATAGCGCTGTGCAATTAATTGAAACACCGATTTCGATTTTGGCTTCTAACGATTATGAAAAACCATTAATTGAGATAAACGATAACTTTTTTTTATTTACTGCCCACTTTCCAGCACATTTGTTGCTCTTAAAAGCAGGAACTAAACCGCATGCTTCTGTGTGTGTGTGCGGCGCGCACACACAGTCCGAAGCATGCGGTCAGCATTTGGTCTCATTCGCACACTGTGACGAGCAGAGCATCTAAAGTCATCCTAATGTGAGCGCTTTAATGGTCAAATAGGTGTCAATACGCGGTGTTTAGTGATTATTCATATTAACCCTCATTTGTGTAATAAACGAGTTGAGGAAGACATGTGAAAGCGAAACCATTAAAGTAACAGCGCAATATTCCTGCTGCCGCCTGTTTCGATCATTAATAATCAAATAACAAAAGGAGAAAATCTCCCACTGCTCTTGACTGAAGGACTTTTGTAGCTAAAGTGTTTTTCTTACAGTGAAGATCCTTAAAGCACAGTTTGTTTTATATTTTTATTCTATTGTATTTATTTCTCTTTCCTTTGCAGGGTGGAAAATAACTGTATACATGCAGTTGAATTATTAGCTCTCCTCAATATTACCAACTCTTTTCCCCCAATTTCTGTTTAATGAAAAGATTTTTTGTCAATACACTTCTAAACATAATAGTTTTAATCATTCATTTCTAATAACTAATTTCTTTTATCTTTGCTATGATGACAGCACAATAACATTTTACTGAATATTTTTAAAAATACAAGAATTCAAATTTAAAGTGCGATTCAAAGGCTTAATTAGGGTAATTAGGCAAGTCATTGTATAACAGTAGTTTCTTCTGCAGACAATAAAAAATATATATTGCCTAAAGGGGCTAATAATAATTGACATAATAATAATATGTCCCTAATAATAATTGACCTTAAAATAGGTTTGAAAAAAATTTAGCCTGCTTTTATTCTAGCCAAAACAAAACAAATAAGACTTTCTCCAGAGGAAAAAACATTAAAGGAAATACTGTTAAAATTCCTTGCTCTGTTAAACATTATTTGGGAAATATTTATAAAAAAAAAACATTCTCAGGAGCGCTAATAAATTTGACTCCAACAGTAATCGTTCTGAATAATCGTGATTACAATTATAACCAAAATAATAGTGATTATGATTTTTCCCCCAAATCGCTCAGCCCTAGTGTTTCTTAACATCTAATTTTTTTGTTAGCCCAACACTCAATCCCTATCCTGGATGACATTGCAAGTAATAATATAATATAATATAATATAATATAATATAAAATAATATAATATAATATAATATAATATAATATAATATACATTTGTTTTCTTTTTGGCTTAATCCCTTTATTAATCTGGCGTTGCCACAGAGGGATGAACCGCCAACTTATCCAGCATACAGTATGTTCTATGCAGCGGATGACCTTCCAGCTGCAACCCATCTCTGAGAAACATCCATACATACTCTTTCACACACATTCACTATGGACAATTTTGCTTACCCAATACACATATAGCGCATGTCTTTAGACTTGTGGGGGAAAACCAAAGCACCCGGAGGAAACCCATGCAAACACGGGAAAAACATGTAAACTCCACACAGAAATGCCAACTGACCCAACCGAGGCTCGAACCAGCGAACTTTTTGCTGTGAGGTGACAGCATTACCTACTGCGCCATCGCGTCGCCATATAATATAATATAATATAATATAATATAATATAATATAATATAATATAATATAATATAATATAATATAATATAATATAATATAATATAATATAATATAATATAATATAAGTATGTAATAGTATAGAACAATATAGTATAACAATAGTGTATATTTTTATTAAAGTGCTTACAAAATTGTTAAAAACAAAACGGCAGTGCTTCAATAAATAGTTTTTGATTAGTTAATTGTTTGATCATGTCGTCTTTGCTCTTTTTTATATGTATTGTAATGCTGTATATATGTATTTATTAATTTTTATTTTTTATGTATTGTAATTGTAATTATTGTGAAGTCCAAATAAAACAAGAAAGGGATAAATGCCTGGAAATGTGTTAAGCAGGAAAATACATTTATGTGCATTGCAAGCCAATGTGTTTATGACAATGATAGAAATTTAGCAGCATAGTGTAAAAAGGATGTAAACACTTTTAACAGCTAAAATAACTGCAACCACAAAACCATTTTCAACTAAAAACTGAAAAATATCTTCATTTCACAACATTCGGGTGTCTGAAAATCCAAAGGTTTTTATAGTTTTTGTTTTTAAAATTACAGAAAATTAAATGAACATTTGTAAAATCTGAAGAAGAAAAAACCTAAAACAGAAAGAACTTTTGGAACCTTTATCCTCAAGGTACTTGGTCGGGCAGCTAGAAAAATAACAGAGACTTTACAAAGGAAAGCAATAAAATTTAATTTTTTACAAGTGTTTATCGATTAACATAGTTCAAATGAAATATCATATAGCTATACCCATGAATATTCGTACATACATGATTATTCAATATTCATGATGAACATTATATTCTGTAGTATTTTGATTCTGAAGCATGTTAGTCATATTACATATTGGTACCATAATTCTCATGATACAGTGAAACACTGACCAAATATGGCAAGACTGGTCATCTTCCAACTCAAAACAAACAAACAAATAAACAAACAAACAAAAACTTTTCATATTTCATGTGAATATATTGCACTAATATGTGGGTTAGGGAGAAGACGTATTCCAGGAGGAAGATGATTAGGATGGAAGAACAACTTGTTTTTGCTTTTTTATTTTTGTTCTGTTTTGTTTTTTGGATGAATTGAAAGTGCACTGTAGACTGATGCATAATGACAACTTGTCCATCATGGATATGCCATATGGCTTAATTATTTTGCCATACATTGATCACAAATACTCTTTTGGACAGTTTTTAAACCGAAAGGTTTAAAAATCCTTAAGGAACTCATAGGCCACCAATACTTGACCACCTTCTAATGAAGTCAGGCTGTCGGTAATGACATTGGTAGGGTTAAAATTGCTACTGTAACACAATCATTAATATTACCTTACTTTGGTAATGATAAACAATAAATGCACAGAATATTATAAAATGCTACAACATAAATGCACCGAAAAACACGCATACACACACACACACACACACACACACACACACACACACACACACACACACACACACTCAGAGTCAAAAAAAGAGAAATATTACACTATAATGCATTGTGTGCTCTGTAATACTAACAGAAAGCTCTTTGATGCTTTGATATTTTACCTCATTAATATTCAACATCACATATACCACTCTCATTTGCATTTTGCTTTGCAATTTTATCCGACTTCAATGCAGGGAACAATACCAGCTAGAAAAAAAAACAGAGTCTGAAAATTAAGATAATGATATGATAATCAAATGCATATTGCAGGAATGGGACGGAATTGAGAGTGGAAGGACCAAGTGATGCATAATGATACTATCTGTAGACTGATGCTGACAGTATATAGATTAAATCATGAATATATAGATTAACAAAACAAACACGTACACAATAAATAGATATATACATAGACATGTATTGTAAAATCATAGAAATTATACAATATATAATAACCTGGGACAAAGCAGGGGGGTTTCTTGGTCAACCTGTGTAAGATTTGCTCAAAAGGAAGGACACTTCGAAAAATACTATTCCTCCTTTTACCACCAGCCACATATGGCATACCATAGCAGGTGCTAAGCTAGCTATGCTCTTAGCACTTTTGTTTTGTTAAGTTAGTTTGCCGTACTTCTGCTGTAATACATCTCAAATGATCAAAAATGTTTAAGTTTAATAGATACCCAGAAAGCATATACAACCTCATGCAAATTGCGAGGTGTAGGGCTTACTGCATTTTGCAAAATTACCCTTTGAACCATAGGTCTCAAACTCAATTCCTGGCAGGCCACAGCTCTGCAGTTTTGCTCCAACTCTAATCAAACACAGCTGATCCAACTAAAAAGGTGTTCAAGACTACTATAGACTATAAGGTGGATGTGAGTTGGAGCTAAACAATGCAGAGCTGCGGCCTTCCAGGAATTGAGTTTGAGACCATTGCTTTAAACAGATGCAAACCAGAATATTAAAACATATTAACTAAATGCAGACATGACTTTGTAATTGCAGGACTGAACTCAGAAGCTTTGGTAACTGCGGTGGGCTTATTTTTATAGTTGCGTCTTATTAATAGTGTCATTGTCACAATCACCCAATATCTTTTGTTTGATTGGAAGAAAACTGCAATTTACAGTTCAACCTTCTGTGCATGTACAAAAACCAAGCATACCTTTTTATTGCTTAAGTACTGCACAAGTTGACATACAAAGCACATACAAAATGATTGCAAAACATTCGTCATATTCTCGGCTCTGTTGTGGAAGTGAAGGTGTCGTTCCCTGGTGTCCAGACACTAAGGCAGTATTGTTACAAAAAGGAAAGGCCATAGATACCGAGCAGTACCTCTTTGTCAGCAAGGAGGGGTATGTATAGGGTCAAGGTCTAGCTGAAATATCCTACTAGGTCTATACTGTATAATTGGGATGTTAAGGGCTAGGTTTGATTGTGCCTGTGTGTAGGTTTGTGTGCACCTGTGTGTTTGTTTTGTGTATATATCTGTGCCACCTGCCTGGAGAGACATGTACGGCGTGTTCTTTCACAGTGACAGATGATGCCCGACTGATGAAGTGCGACAAATTTTGCTTTGCTTCCCTGACCCAGCATAATTCCCTCCTTTATAAAGAGCACACCTTTATAACAGGGCAATAGCAATCGCTCTCTCGTGCATACACACTACCACAAACATACATACATCATACACCCTTTCATATTATTACTGTGAAGTAAAGTATTTTTTTGTTAGTTGTTTTTTTTTTTGGAAGTCATAATTTGCATATCCCTTATCATCAGACAATAATATTGCAAAAAGTACTGACAGAACTTGGAAGACAAATTTAAGTCACACCATTCTTCAGTCAGTTTCGTTTGTCCATTCCTTTTGGCATAACAAATGGGGAAGTCTCTAGACCAATAGAAATCCAAGTGGTTGAACATACACCCTCCTTCTCTAGTGAGAAAAGTCTTTGACGTACTTAAAAATGTTGCTCACTCATTGTCGGAGGGTGCAGACCTTTCTCACAAGTTTGATGGGAGTTTGGGGTGCAAGCTTGGTGTCCCAGGGGTGGACCTGTCACTTGACCCATGGGCTGGTGATCCACCTGAGGACCCAGTCTGAGTTATGGACAACTTGGAAGTTTGTCTCGATAAGACAACATGACCAGGTATTGAGCTAAATGGATTCACAAGGGGTGGGGGGGATGGGAGTGGTGAGTAACCTGAAGTGGATCCTCGGTGATGAGATAAGTCTGGTGGTTGTGGTCCTCTTCCCACAGCCCTGGATTTTTCGGCTAGTCCAGGAATAGGAAGGGACATGGAAAGGGTGCTTAAGTCTTGTGAAGGTAGATCAACTAGAGATCCACCCCTTTCTCTTGGTTGAGGTGGTGGTGGAAAGAGTGTCTGAGGGGTCAGTAGTGACGTTTGGGATCCAGAGATGCTAGAAGGTTGGCTATGCGCTGACATTCTCATTTTCTCTGCTGTTGGACTCTGGCACGTGGGGCTCCAAGCTGAAGGTGTGCTACATGGGGACGCATTTCCAGATCCATATTGTGCAAGGGAAGCAAGAGCAGATGGTTCTTGAGCAAGCTGGGAAAGAACATCCGGCTGTATACCAATCTGAGGATGCTGGGACTGGACACTTGTTGGACTCTGTACTTGTTCAAGAATGCTCTTGGAGTGGACTGGGGACTCTGTTACTGGAGATTGGGGGGCTGTCCTTCCAGCTTTATTTAAGTCTTGAATTGGTTTTGTTGGTTGAGGATTTGAATGAGTTGCATGTAGCTGGGTCAGGATGGGACTTACAGAGTGCGCTATCAAAGGAGTAAGGGTGGATGCAGGGGGAACCGCTAGATGAACAGCCTCTCCTCCAGCTGCTCCTTGTTGGAAGAATCCAGGAAGTGATGCAGCAATGCTTGAGAAAGAGGCCTGAGAAAGTTGCGGTTGAGAATGAAGTTGGGCAACGCTAAAGTCTTTGGATCCATGAGAGATAATGGGTCTATGGTGGTAGACGGAAGACTCTGTGATGCTTGAAGTGGTAGTGGTGACAGTTGTTGTTATGGTGGATGGCAGAGAGCTGGAGGATGGTGGCGGTGTGGAGGTAGATGATCTCTCGGCCCTGAGTGTGTCCAGAATTGGGGTTTCTATACAAGAGCTGAACTGCGAGCTGGTTGATGAGGAGCCACCAAATGTATCAGCACCCGAAAGTGCAGTTGGAAACCTTTTAAAATAGCCTGGCTGGTCTTTCAGTGAGCCAAGCCGAGGAACAGGAGGTCGGAAGAGGGTGTGGGGCAAATGGGGGTGACGAGTCAGGGCGATGGCAACTGAAGTAGTGGCTGCAGCAGCTTGCAGAGGAGCCTGAATAAGAGGTGCCCATATGACAGGGGTGTGGGAGGATGGAGTCGGTGCTGGATGAGGAGGTGGGGGAGGTGTCTGCATGAGGTGTGCACAGTGGGCCATATCCCTGTCATGCTGCACGATCTGCTGGATGATCTCATTTTCTTGGTAGTTCAAAACTCCAGAATTAAGATCCCGTTGGACTTTGTGCTGGAGTACAGAGTTCCTCTTTCCTGTGAGGACAAAAAGAAAGGAAGACATAAAAGGCATGGAAAACAAGCTCTGTCTATAAAGTCAACATGAATTGCTAGGACAATAAATGGTCCTTTTATATACAAAGGATTCAACTTCTAGGAGGTTGTTTTAAAATAATATCAGTAGAAATATGGCCTTCCAGGAGCAGTTTTAGACACTCCTAAATTAGCTATATGTTTTGTAGGATAAATGTTAACCAATGGCCAACAAGTACATAAGGGTTATGAACTGCAGTTTTTGTTGATTTAATAACTATAAAATAAATAAATAAAAGCGTCAAGTGATGAGATTATTAAACTATCCACTTCCCAAGGACAATTCAGAGAAGCTGTGAGAAACATGGGTTTACTAAACTGACAGCTCTCACCTATGCGGTCAAGGCGATCGAGGGCTACGGTCTCAAATGCTCGTCGCATCATGGGGTACTCCTCCAACACCTCGTTAAAATGGTCCACAGAGAGCGAGTACAGACGGCAATATGTGTCCGCTCTCACACTGGCCGTTCTTCTGCCTCGAGTCAGCAAGCAGATCTCTGTGGATGTTTCGCAACATTAGCCAGTTGAAAACCACATGGAAAGAACTCTTCTTAAGAGCAACAATGTGGAAGAACATACAATTTATATATATATAAATTATATATATAATATATATATATAATATATATTTAGATATATATACATCCAGAAAGGGTTCCTAGCGCTTCACTTTTTCCACATTTTTTATGTTACAGCCTTATTCCAAAATGGATTGAATTCATTTATTTTCTCCAAATTCTATACACAATACCCCATGAAGATTTTTTTTCACAGCCTTTGCTCAATACTTTGTTATTGCACCTTTGGCAGCAATTACAGCCATCATCACAGCTATAAATGTACCGATCGACTAGGTGATTTGTTTTGCCCTGTTCGTATCTGTAGGATTTGCCTGTCTGAATGCTGTTCCAGTTACTGATTCCGTGATGTCAGTGTAAATGAGTTTATATCCTTAAATATTACCCCTAAAATAGTTTACTGTCATAGCAGATGTTTTTTTCCACCACTCTCTTGGTAGCGGTGATGGTGCTCAACGTTTCTAAAGAGCGTTGGAGGCGCTTGCGTGCGATGTACCTGAGCAGCGGGGGTGAGTTGTGCCCAACGTAGTGAACGTACCTGAAGAGCTGGGTCAGGGTTAGCAGATGTGTGCCTGTGGTGATATGTGAACAGGTTATTGAGATTGGCTGTTCTGTGTTGGGGTCAGGGTTCCTGGGGCAATGAGGGCGGAACCAGCACGAGCAGGCTGACACAGAATTCAGAAAGATTGCTAACAAGTGCATGCTTTAATAAAGTGATATTCTGAGTTCAAAAGCGATGGTCTACTGTTTAACATGACAGCGGGGAAGGCAGCATGTTGTCTGCCACATTTGGGATGCCATGTTGAGCGTTGTTGTACTGAAAACATTATATTTAATATATAATTTATATTATAACATCTATCTTTTTAGATATTGTTAGTCTGAATCGAATCATTCGGTTTGTAATGCGTACCGAACCGGAAGTCTCGTACCGAACGGTTCAATACGAATACGCGTATCGTTACACCCTTAATATATATATATATATATATATATATATATATATATATATATATATATATATATATTTATATATACAGTTGAAGTTAGAATTATTAGCCCCCTTTGATTTTGATTTTCTTTTTTAAATATTTTCCAAATGATGTTTAACAGAGCAATGACATTTTCACAGTATGTCTGATAATATTTTTTCTTCTGGAGAAAGTCTTATTTGTTTTATTTTGGCAAGAATAAAAGTAGTTATTAATTTCTTAAAAAACATTTTTGGGACAACATTATTAGCCCCTTTAAGCTATTTTTTTCGATAGTCTACAGAACAAACCATCATTATACAATAACTTGCCTAATTACCCTAACCTGCCTAGTTCACCTTATTAACCTAGTTAAGTCTTTAAATGTCACTTTAAGCTGTATAGAAGTGTCTTGAAAAATATCAAGTAAAATATTACTAACTATCATCATGACAAAGACAAAATAAATCTGTTATTAGAAATAAGTTTTTAAAACTATTATGCTTAGAAATGTGCTGAAACAATATTCCCTCCATTAAAAAGAAATTGGGGAAAAAAATAAACAGGGTCGCTAATAATACAGGGGGGCTAATAATTCTGACTTCAACTGTATATATATATATATATATATATATATATATATATATATATATATATATATATATATATATATATATAATAGAATTAATGAACAATAAATTAATTTATGTATGAATCTCCTACTATCCAGGCAACAACTGAGCATTAAACATAAATGTTTTTTCAGCCTAAGTTTAGAACACTCCCGAACTATTAATATGTGCATAAATTTACAATGGTGGGAATCATGAATTAAATATACATGCTGTAAATGCAGTGACTCAGGCTTTATATACTTTGAGCCTGCTTTTTTGAATGGTCCTCTTTAATCTGCACCCAGAGCATTAAAATGCCATTTTGACAGCTTAGAGTTGTGCTCTGCCATCATCTGTCCAGTCAGATCACAGACTAAAAGCTGTACTTCAAACACAGAGGAAATTTCTAAAGCGACAGACAAGCAGCTGGTTAGAAGGGAGGACCCAGGGGACTGTCAAAACTAATGTGGTAATTGGGTGTTTCCAGTCAGTACAGTATCTCATCTTCGCACCTAAGAAATACAGTTTGGCCTTATTCCCAAAAGTTCACTGACTAGTTCATATCATATTTAATAGATGAAGAACTGTCCATGATTCTTTATACACTTGTATGGAAGTTGTAATGGTAAAGCTTCCATCAGAATTTGCCACTGAACTACTAGTACAAGACTGAGATCACAGTTTGATTTAAACATGAATCTAACAAAATGAATGTTATGCTTTAAACAAGCAATAACTTATCAAAGGTTAAGAGAAACATATTTCTTAAAGAACAGAACTAAAAGCTGTATTGTAGCATGCGTCCAAATATAACAGTTTACAACATTTCTTAGATTACAAACAAGGTATTTATTAAATGCTTGCACATTTAACACAGTCACTCAGCTTGTTTTACTTTTTGTTGAAAAGTAATTGATTTCTGGCACGGGAGGCAGGTTCACGAAAGATGCAAAAGGCAATAGCATCTTGAGATCAGGTGAGTTAGAACCTTTTACTACTTCTACTTGCTGGCTTAAATTACACTCACCTTACTAAACCTCACTCTCAGTAAGGTCATGACATCAATGTAACCCCTCAAATTTTATTTGCCCCACTCCTAGCAAGATTTAAACAGAGAGTTCTGGCATGGGAGGTGGATGTGCTATCAAGCACACTAAAGCCCACAGCCTCTAGTGCACCTCTTCTGATCGGTGGAGGGAGGTTCTACCCACAGTACCTGTGCTTCAGTACACTCACAGCCCTAAACCTCACTTTCATTTGGGTCACAACACCATTGTAACCTCTCTGGTTCTACCCAGCATTTCTGGTATGAGAGGCAGGTGCACTAACAAGAATTTTAAAGACTATAGCCTCTAGTGCACCTCTTGAAATCAGGAGACTGATGTTTACACACAAAGCTCCTGCTAGATTGTCTCCACAAATCTTACCCTGAACCAAGCTTCTTTCTGGGTAATGCAATATTTCTGGCTTTGTTTGTCCACTAGTAGCGGGCAAGAAGTGCTAAAGACCAAAGTCTGTAGTTCACTTCTTTATATCAGGGTAAGGTAATTTTTACTCACACAGCTCCTGCTAGCTAACCTTTACCACATTCTAGCTGCATTCCCACTGCAAGGTACAGTACAGTTCAACACAGCTCAGTTCACTTCGGTTTTGCTCAGATCATTTTGCATCTCCACTGCAGTTTACTACTAAAAGTGGATGGGTTTATTGCTTCCACTGTCGTGATCTCATGCTGTAGGCCTTCTTGTGGTCTACTAACAAAAGAAATATCTAGACCTTTTTGGCTGTCTTTTTCTTGCAGTGGTATAAAAATTATTTAGTTGTGCAAACCAACAGTACATCAGTGACTGCTTCTGACTATTTAGGCTGCACACACTATCCGAATCCGAACCGTTTAACTATTATCATCACCTTATGGACTGTTATGAACTCTGAATGATGAAATTACTTTCTAACAACAGGCTACATGTGCTGCTGAAAATTAAAGACACATATGAAAGGTTTGCTCTTACTGTGGGCTATATTTAGTGTTATTTTTGAACCCAAATAAGGACTAAATGTGTGCTGTATGTAGTTTTCTGTTATTGGTAACATATCGGAGAATGTAGGGGTCTGTATGTGTTCATATATGTTGCATTTATTTATTTGTTTTATATAATTGCAGACATTATGGTAGACTATCACACACATCATTGATCTGCAGTTATAATCAAACCATGTTCATAAAAAGGTTAGTAATAAGCATTTAAACAAGTATTTATGTTTATAAAGCATCTGTTTTGTAATGCTGCGTTCACACCAGATGCGGCATGCGCGGATAAATCGCGCTATTCGCATGTAAATTGCCGCGTGAACATTTGAGTATACTCAATTCATTCGCGCGCCAAACCAAGCTTCATCTGCGCGTCAAATCTGCTTCATTCGCATGTCAAATTCACTTCAAAACAGATGCGGGATTGCATGATGGGCAGGGTTTCTGTCCCGGTGACTAGCTTCGTTGCTAAATGGCTAACATGGATTTTATGAAGAAAATAACAGTGTTTATGTACTTTATGAAGGCTGAAAAACAGCGTCGATACGTTTAGGACCATGTCTAGGTCCACTACATGCTTTCAGAGGTGCATCCAGCTCTGTGAGCTCATAAACTCCTCCAGAAACTGAACCTGGATCACGGAGGCTTTCAACGGTGCTTCTGACTGAGCCAAGCCCAGTTTGATGACTCGTTGTCGGTGTCGCCTGGAGGATTTCCCCCGGGACACCATCAACTGGTTCTACGTCACAATCACGCCCCCACAAGAGCAAGCTTCTGATTGGTTAACGCGGCGCGAATGTCTGCTGAAGTTTAGATTTTCGAATTGGAGAGATTCGCGCAAAACGCTCGGTAAGCGCGTCAAACATGCAAAATGCACAATTCGCCTTGCGCGTATCGCGCTATTCGCACCGCGCCATTCGCATCATTCCCGCTACGCCATTCACGCGTATCGCGCCGCAGGATATCTATTCGCACGTTTGCATTGACTTAACATGTAAATCACACGCGCTTGACGCACGTGCCGTGTCTGGTGTGAACGCAGCATAAGAAGTGCTTCTCATATGATCTGTGAACGACCCGTACGGCTTTACTGTGACATTCACTTGAGTAAAAATGACGTTGTCTGAAACAACGCCCACCAAAAGGGTACCCTTTTGGCAGTAGAAATGCAAGCCGTACTTTACTGTACCTCTCATTGGAAACAGGCCATTAGGCTATAGCGCGGTACGCTTGTAGTGTGAGTACAAAGCACGCCTGAGCCTGAAACTAAAGACGAGAGATGACTTTTAAGGGCCTTATTCA